GCGTTCACAGGATATTTTGAGTCCCGCCAACTCATCCCTTATGGCTCGGATGTCGTCTACCAGTGCTGGTAAGTTAAGCAACTGGCGTTTCATATCACGTATCTCACCGAGTATGGTATCCAGAGATGTAGGTTCAGGGGTGGATACAGCTGGCGATGAGCTTCTGCACATGGGACATTTCCATTGGGCCATTCTAGCAGAACCCAATTTCCTCCACCCAGATTCAGAAATGTTTGCACACCCAAAGTCCAGGTGTTTCTTGCAACTACCGCATTGAACGCCATCATGAAACTGCACATTGCAGGCTGCACAGGTTTTCATTTTCGAATTAATTTACTAGTCGTTAAACAAAAACGTAAAAAGGTTGGTGATCTATTTATTTAGAGTGGCGTGTACTGTGCTTATGAATGACCACAGACGAATGTTCTCGAATTGTTATCACAAATATTGATTATTATGTATGTATACACGGAAGCTTTGTTATCTACACTAATAGTATAAAGAGGAAAGATTTGATGTTTTGTTTGTTTGAATGGAATCTCCACAGAAACTACTGGACTGATTTGAAAAATTCTTTTACCGTTGGAATCCTACGTTATCGATGATGAACATAGGCTATATTTAATAAGAGAGAAAAAAGGGAACCGTGTGAAATTCTGGATAATGTAACCCGATGTGTGAAAAAAATTCCTTATATTGCTTAAGCCTTTAACTGCCAATAGAAAACCGTTTTTAAAGGGACTCATAATAGAGATATTAGAGGTACAGTAAAAATACGAATTCAATTAACTGAATACATTTTATTAATGGACAGGCTTCTGCCCACGCTTTGTTTCGCTCGCGCTCTTTTAAAGTACTGAGGTCAGATTTACAAAAAAATAACTAGTTTTTTTGAAAATTACGAAATGCTTCATACAAATTTCCAGCCCCAGTTTTAGGGAAGTGGTGGGTTAGAAAGATACAAAATGTCGCCTTGCTATGCTGCTTTCAATGCTTTCTAGTATCTCACCTGAGTAAAAAAATCACGTCAATTTCTAATAAAACAAACAGACATACACAAATGTATAATATTAGGTATTCCTTTCTAAGTTATCTGACATATTTTTGACACGTGAGTTTCATGCCAATGGATTATTTACAATTTAGGTATTACTTTTATTAGCATGACTGTTATAACATTAAGGTATGCAAAGAGGCTGAATACTAATTGTATCAATCCATTTGATTGAACTTCGGTGCAACGATAGTTTGAGACAACACTTCACAATAAATTTTTGTTACACAGTATTGCAATTAATCTTAGAGAAGACTAATTAAAAAGTTCAAAATTTGCCAGAAGTTATTATTATACGCGGACGAAGTCGCGGTGAACAGCCAGTTATTCTATATTATAACTAGCTTTTCCCCGCGGCTTCGCTCGCGTCACAAAAAGATAAAAAGAAGCCTATGTGACTATCCATCCCTTCAACTACACGGTGAAACACACGGTGGGAGAATGCCCTGCGAGGGCTGAGCACCGCCGTGCCCTCAGGGAAGTGATCGGCGATGGCGACCTCTCGCGTCTGGGCCTAGTGCAGGCCATGATGCGGAGCGAGGGGGACTGGGATGCCGTCTCCTCCTTTTGCGAAGCAGTCATGCTAGCTAAGGAGGAGGCGGGACGCGTGAGGCAGCGAAACGCTGCCTCCTCGCAACTCTGCCATCGCGAAGGACACACCGGGCGTCGGGGATCGCGAGACGATCTCCGGTCACCGTAAGTGCGGGCCTGCGGACGGCGAGCATGGGTGGCTCCCCGTCCGACCAGAAACAGACCCGAGCGTACGACACGTCGCGTTCCGCGCACGCCTCAAAGAGCTATCAGACCACCACAGATGGGGCCCAATAGGGCCGATGCCGATGCCGATTCGGAGTCGCGGAGAACCTAACGGGTAACCGGGGCTCCGGCTCGACGTGCAGGAGAAGGAACGGGGTGGTTTTTAGTCAGTAAGAGTCTGACACTCCCTCCCGCCTCACCCAGGCGGGAGCAGTCATTCGATGATTTTCCCCGCTTAAAAAAAAATCCCTTCAACTACCTTCAGTTAACCGTTTTGCCGTTTAAGACAGGCAATCAAACAAATAGCTGTTCGCTCGCGTGGAATTCGGTTATATCGCGCATTTTAGATTTTTCCGTGGGAATAACAAGTTCTGCTGCGGTAAAGCGGTGCTTTTCCAGGACGCAAACTACCTTTATTCCAAATTTCTTAAAAATCCGTTCAGCCGTTTAGCATGAAAGAACAAATACCATCGTCCCATTTTAATTTGAAAGACTATTTCCTATAAGGGTTTTATTTGCCTTGTTAAACCAAAACTGAGTGGTAAACTATATTATACGTTTTATTATCGAAAACCTAACTGCTATAGACATCTACTTAGAAATAAACCACTTCACTAATCTAACAACTAATATATAGCTACTGTATCAATCAACGTAAACAATGAACAAAGCGACTTAAAACGACGAAAAAAAATAACTACTTTAGATAATAATATCTACCTAGAAAAATAACAATTGACTAGTCAAAATCAAACCCACAGAATAGAAATCTTTAATAGTGCTAGATGCGTACACCGTAGACTTGGGTCGTTCGCGAACGAAAGACAAAAATGAACTAGTTCATTAGGAAAGCAGCAACAACCCCTATACTTATTATACTCTTTGGCAGCAACTCATCTTTCGTTCAGTTTCATACAGACTGTATCTCTAGTTCACTAGTTCACTTGGTGATTCGCCACTCATTTTGACTCAAGAACTACTACCGAACGAGAACTAGATGAACTAGTGAACTAGATGAAAGATATAGTACACCGAAATATAATGGTTTCGGAAGCTCGGAACCTATACTTTCGCCGGTAACGAAACCATAGCGCCATCTAACTCGATCCTAACGCCGTCTATCGAGCGTTGAAACAACAGCGTAGAATATAATATGTATTTGCTAATTGTTGAGTATTGTTGCCATTATGATTTCGTTTAACAACCTAAAAAAAACTCCATAAAACTCCATAAAAATACCCAATTTAATGTAAAATGGTTGGAACCAAAATTTAAAAGCGAAAAATACTTAAAAAACACAACGCTACCCCGTTATTTAACACTCAGCGCCATCTATCGCCAAGTAGCGTAACTACTACACAAAGTTACCACGTTGTTTTTAAAGTATTTTTACGTATAAAACAGCAAATAAATTAGTCGAAAAGTGCACCGAATAAGCGTAAATTAACACCAAATAAGCGCTATAGATTAAAGCGTGAAATTTCCAATTAGTAGGTAATTAGTTGAATTGTTTTAAATGGCATACAGCGCCATCTATACGTATACACACAGCGCCATCTATACTAATATTTTTAGTTTTCCCTCGGGAATATCACATTAATCCAGGATAAAAAGTACCTTATGATTTAATCTGGACGTCTAACTTTACGTCTGCAAAATTTCAAAGCAATCGGTTTAATAGTTACGGTGTGAAAGCAGAACAAACAAACAAACAAACTCACTTTCAGATTTATAATATTATTAATAAGGATCAATCGAAGCAGGTACAATGCTAGAATCCGCAGGCCATTCTCCGATGGTGCGTTAA